ATTTACTTTTATAAAATAAAGATAAATTTTTTTTTCATTTATTTATATTTATTTTTTAAGTATAAATGATTCATTTAGTTTTATCCATTATTATAAATGAAAAATAAAACTAAATTAACACCCCTATGCGGAATACTTATATCTTCGAATGATGTTGGTCTTGGCAATGGTATGTCATCTTTTATAATTCGTCGAGGTGGATCATGTGATGTTATTGCACGTTCACTAATTTTTGATTTAAATTCGGCATCTATTATTTCGTCTGGATTTGATACATGACTATGGTCAGTTAATTTAATATATTGTGTACCATCAAAAGTTACACGACCAGAACAATTACTTTTAACACAACGCGCACGTAACTTGACTTTTATTATTTTATACATCTGTCGGTGTATCACCGGAAGCAAATCGCCACAGATAATGTTTGATCAGTAACTCTACGAAGACATTACTCTGAAAAGATGTACTATATATCATTTTAAACCCCGTTTAACTGCGCATGTTTTCGTGTATAAGATTCTATTAAGAACGTCAAACGAGCAACGCGAAATTCGCAGTGGACTTTAGGCAATTGCCGAAAGTCATGGCTTGAACTAAAAATTACTCTCGACGAAAACTGAACTTTCGGCAAATTGTCGAAGTTCCGACTTCGGTTACGGCGAAAGTTTTGTTGTAGCATGACAGTTTTATAGTCGATGAAGACGTTATAGCCGCCCGCCTAACAGAAGACCACCTGGTCTTCCAATTTTTCCTGCCCTTTCCCGTCCAAAAATAAAAAATTACGATCGAACAGTCTATTGGGCCTTGTCAAAAATTTATATGGTCATTTTCTTGCAGAAACCGTCCGCTGTCCTTTATTTTTGTGATTGTTTTGAGTGCCTTGTAGGGACTCTGTTGAAACTAGTTTATTATTGCCTATACTATTTTCATGCTGATTTTGATGTCTATTCCACTCTCTTTTTGTCCAAAATAATATAATTTTAATTGATTTTCTAACTACTCCAGTCATCATCTTTGAGTGACATCTGTTGTACTTTGCATTTTTTTTGCCTTAAATCTCCTCTCTAATTTTTTTTAACGTAACAGGCTTAAAATTCTTTCAAGTGGACAGAAATGTAGAGCAGAGTTCGCTCTCTTAACGGTAAAAAAATAATTTTCTTATCTCTTTTATTTTAAGGCATAACAAGCTCGGAAGAGAAGCTTCTTACAGTGTTTGAATACTTCTTACACACACTGTATTTCGCTCATAAGTTGTAAACATTGTACAATCTGTTGTTGTCTTTTATTTATCGTTTGGTCTCTTGAATGCAGTTTTTGCAAGTTCCAGGGACCATTCCAGTAGCAGGCTTTTATTATAGGCATGGGCGAAATACTAATGAATCTGTAATTGTGTTGAAACATTGACAATTTAATATTAGTAACAGTTACGATTGTCACTATCCGTTTTATCGCATATATGGTCAACTTCTGTTATTTCAAATATTGTTTCATAACTTCATAACATCATAATACATTATCGGAAATCGACTTTTAATACGCTGAACAGAATCAGTCCAGTTTGTTTTTCTGAATAGCTTATTGAATGAATGTACGGGCAGCAAAGTATCCCGTATAATCAGGAGGAACAAGATTGAACAACGAAGGCAGAAAACGATCAGAATATTAACGTTGAAACCAGGCAAATTTCTCGACACATATTGATAAGCAAGAGATCTTCACCCAAACTAAGACTTTACCCGAAAAAAATGGAGGTTTCGCTCGTTTAAGAATTTTAGATTAGTGGATTTCAACTGATGAGACATCGTTGACAGTTGAGAACGGAACCGCTAAGGCTGTATCCATCCTTCTCATCTTAGAGTCCGATTCAAGAAATTTTTAATCTTCAGCGTACCTTGTCAAATTATTTTTCAATGAAACAGCTTTACTGTACGCGACAAAGGAAAGGTTATCTCATCGTTTAAGGACCAAGTATGCCACACAGTAGGCATTTTTCTATAGAGCAGGCGGACATATGCTGTAGAACTGGTGTGAAAGTCTATGAACATGTTTTTCTATTGGTTTTCGAATATGCTCTTTCTAACGATGAGATTTTCAGAGCTCAGAAGTAATTCCTTGTGGGTTTTCTAGAGACCGGATCTCTGGAAAACCCATAAAAAATATTTTTACATTTCGAAAACCTCACTATTGGAGAGATCATATTCGAAAACCTATAAAAAATGTGTTTATACACTTGCGTATTATTGCTAAAATAAATATCCAACTTCCTAAGCAAAATTTACTGCGGACAGGCTTTCAGCTGTATAATTCAGTTTGACCGGAAATATTTCTGCAGAAAATTAAAAAGCTATATATTATTGCTATCATTGCAAAGCTATATATCAAAGTGTTCTTATGGGGGAGAAAAACGCGAATTACCTCGAAAACCCTATCAAAATTTTGCACCTCTTTCTAAAGGGGTTGTTAGGAAAAATTTTGCTGGAAAATGATCAGGACGGTCGATTACCTATGAAGTCTCACCTTGTTTTTTTGAGAAAATTTCATCTCAGCTAGTGAGACAAAATTCTAAATATTTTAGGTGAAGCAGAATGGTTAAATGTATCTTAACAGAGTGTGCATAACTTTCGCATTAAATGTCACTCTATGTTCCAAAAAGTCTGGAGAATTAACTATTTTTTGATTGAAAGAGCAACGTGCATCAAATAAATTTTTTCTCTTATACACTCCTAGTGAAAATATTCATAACACGAGTACGACTTACTCGGGTTCGTTTTGTTTTGCAGTAAACACCTACAGTAGGAGTTGAAAGAAATTATGTTTGGGCTTGATGTTCATCACAGCCATAACATCAAAGAAAACTACTCTTCGATGTTATCAAGGCACTAATACTGAATGTACGTTGGCCAGTTTCGATATGGCTGACGGTGGTAACAATAATGGGAATGAAGCATGGCGATGTATTTCATACTAATTTCCATGTCTCGACGGTGATACAGCATGTACTGATCAGGAAAAACGTGCACATAAACAGAGATGGGCCTATGTTTTTGGCACTCAAACGCTATGTAGTGAATTAAGTCAGATATCATATCTCTATCAAAATTTGTCATGTTGTGACCAAGATTATTGTAACCGTCCAAAAGATAGAAGTTGCTTAAGATCTAGCAATGCATACAGTGCTCGACGACAAATGAGAAAATTTAACTTCGATGGCGAAGAATGACATTTTTTTCTAAAACTATGATGCTTTTCTTATTTTATGAATAGATAACGCTTATTCAACAATCCTACTAAGAGATCTATCAATTTTCTGACAGGATTCAAGAATTTATACAATGGATAAAGAAAAGCATTTAGAGTTCAGAAATCATCAGGATTCTGACATAGCACATCAACACAGGCGTAGGTATGAGGGAAGGGGAGAACATTACGCCATGGCGCAATGCGATATGAGCATTGCCCAATACAAATCATTTTTGGGTAGTCGGCCCAAAGCTGTTCCTTCACCTAGCAATCCTGAATAAAGTTGGTGATATGAAAGCGAAGTAAGGTGCTCTCAATTCAAAAAGATAGCAAGACTTTTGTTTCCCTTCCTTTTGGCATGGTTGTAGAGAGCTGATCGACTTACCTAGGAAAAAGCCAATTTAAGCTTTTTCAGCGTCATTTTTGTTTGAAAAGATTGAAAAATACTGATGTTTCGAACTGCAAGAGAAAACCGTGAAATTTTCAAAAAGCAAAATTTTCATCTTTAATCGCCTTTTGACTTTCGAAAAGCATTTTCTCTCATTTTGCATCGGAAACTGAGTCTGGGCAACTAATTTTGGAGGAAATTTTACAACAATTTTTGTTTCTGAATAACGATAATGCTTTGCTACGTTGAACGTTCACCATGTTGATCATCTTAGTATTCTTTATTCTTCTGAACTGCCCACAGTCTCTGTAAGACGTCTTTCACCTGGATAGTACTCATTGTTTGGCTTATAGTGTTCTTTTAAAAACGATGAATATTCGAATATCAGAATTCTGTGAATGATACATGAAGTTATCATATACTGTATTAGACATGAAAGGAGAGAATAAAATAGCTATAGATAGAAAATTTTATTCATACTTCAATGGTAAGATAATTTGTTTATGTCTTTTTCATTCATATTGGAAGAGAATGCACAAGAAAATTTCGTAAACACGACTGAGCTAAAACCTCAAAAGGTTGTTGGTCGTTGATCATTCGAGTTTCTTCTGGTTACTTTTGAGGGTAATTCTAGAGTAACTCGAAAGTAACTGAAAGTAATGGTAAATTCATAATTACTAGTCACCTTCGTATGAATAATAGTTGAACAATCATGTAACTATCCTTATATTCTGTTATTCTACGAGGAGCCCGTTACCGCTATTTGAGCGAACAACGGTATAGTAGCGATAAATTATAACGACAGAGTCTTATCAGATACAATCGTGCAATACGCTAATAGTTTACATCTCCACAGTTCTTCGCTGTGATTTTTTTTGTCTTTTTGGTTTATTTCTTCAATGACGTTTTAATTATATGATTTGCGCGATACTGACGAACTACAGTGTTTACGTCAAGTTTAAACAGTAACATGTAATGCTGGCTTTTACCAAGCAGTGCCAAACACGGCGATCTGAAGGGATTGGATCACTTGCATGTGCTCCAGCGGTTAAATTTATTACTAGATAAATAAATTGCGCCGTTTCTAGAATAAATGGCTTACCCACAGTTTTTCCATAATAAATGGCTCCCTATCGTGGAGAGAAAAAATGTGTTCTAGTAGAGACTCTTCAGTATAAATGACTTTTTTCCTAGCATAAATGGCATAGCCATTTATTACTCTCCAGCATAAACGGCTCTTTCTCTTTCATAATTTGTCTATCCGGGAAGGTTGCCTAGCATAAATGGCTTCTCTACTCGGATAAATGGCTTCTATAACACACAGAAAAAATGTCTCCTAGGAGAGTCTTCAGCATAAATGGCTATTTTCTAGATATTAGAGAGAGACTTGTACAAGGATAGTAATTTTTTAGTCATTCTTTATAATTTTTCGTCTTTTGTTCGCGTAAGCTATAGCTGGGCCTTTTCAATAAAATCATGTTTCGACAAAATACTTTTGGACAAACTGTTTTTCTGTGAAACACTAATAAACTAGAGACCGCTTTTCTCTCGATGTTTCCGAGAATTCGAGAAGTGGAGTACTCATGTTGAGTGGTTGATGAAAAAGAGATTATTGAAAGGGAAGATACTGTAATTTCGTATTTTATTAAAACAGTTTAAAAATATTTAAAAGATATATAAGACAATGAAACGTTTCGACCTCTTTTAAATTGAGGTCTACTTCAGTGAACTTAATAAAATATGTATACAAATATA